ACCACCTTTTTTCTCCTTCCTTTTTATTAATTTTTACAAAGTAAATAGAGAGAGAAAGAGAGAGAGAGACAGACAGAAAAAAAATTAATTAATTGGAATTTTTAAAATAAAATGGCGACGGACATTAGTATAAAATTATTATTATTTCGTTCATTTATTATTATTATTATTATTATTATTATTATTATTATTATTATTTTAAAATATCGATTATCATTAACAATTAAAATTCTATTATTATGCGGTTGTGTGTAGGAATCCGGGAAAAATTTTTTTAAATTTTTTTTCGGGGGGAGAGGGGGCACAAAGGAAAAAAAGAATGAGAAACGTAAAATAAATGAATTATAGCTTAATAAGTGGATAGAGGAGGAGAGGGATAGAGGGGAAAGGAGAGAGAGAGAGATTCTAGAATATTTTGGATAATTGAAATCGTTTTGTATTTAATCGTGAGATATTTGCGTGCGTTTAAAATATTAACGGAAAATTAATTTATTACTCTATGACCGTGGAAATGAAAATGAATTTTTGTGACAAAAAAACTCACCTTGCATTTTCTATGTTTGAAAACTAAAAATACGAGGACGAACGTCGTCAATAAGCAAATAATTTGAATTATTAATATCGTGTTTCTTAATATTTTCCCACGGCCGGAAAAACAAAAATTACTTCCGGTACAATCATCCGAACAGAAATCGTTTGAACATTTCATACACCTGGAAAAACAAAAACAAACAAAATCAATAATGATGATGATGATGATAGCAAAATGATAAATGATAAATCGTAAAAAAGGAAAAATGAAAAGAGAGAGAGAAAATTTTTTTTTCTTTTCTTACTTATACAATAACGATGATGAATGACTGAATGAATGAATGAATGAACGAAAGGAACAAACAAAGAATGATTGAATGATTATTGTTTTTTTACATAAAAACGCAAAATATTCCCCAAACATGATTTTTCTTTTTTCTTTCAACGGATAATTTATATACAATAAGAAGAAGAAAAAAAATTTCCTTTGAAAATTTTCCTTTTTATTATTATTATTATTAATCTATCGTCAAAGGAATTTTTTTATTAAAATTTATTGTTTTTATTATCATTTAAATATTATTGCGTATTCGTAATAAATAAAAAATTATAATAAGGATAATTATTTTTCCGTTAATTAATTAAATAATAATAATAAATAAATTTTTCTTTGATACTAATAATAATAATAATAAGTTAAAGATAAAAAAAATAAAAAGGAAATTAATTTTTATTTTTATTCCTTTGAAACGGTTAATTACGATTTATGAATAAAATTTTAATGAAAGTAAATAAATAAATAAATTTTTTAGCTTGTTTAAATCCGGAAAAAAAAAAAAACTGTTAATCGTTCTGGAAAGTTCGTTCGTTTGTTCCTTATTTACTTCGTTTGTTTGTTTGTTTGTTTTCTTTTTCTTCTTCATTTTTTTTTTTTTTTGTAATAAATATTTACACTTTTTACACTTGTTTTTAATCACACAATTTTTTAATTCACTTGTTTACAAATATTTATTTATTACTACGGATAACTTTTATAAAACGTTTGTTGCGCGACCGAGCGTTACTTTTTCAAAGTTAAAAATTTTTAAAAACGTTCCGGAACGAAAAACAATTCAAATCGACCAATCAAATTAAAGTTTAAAAAAAAAACAAAACAAAACAAACGTATAAGTAGAATGGGGATTACATATAATTAACATAAGAGATTAAAATCGACCAATCAGAAAATAGGTTTTGAACAGGAAAATTAATTTGACAATCCGTCGACAGATGTCGCGTTTTTTCACAAGGCTGTGGAAAAGGGAAAAAAATTTATTTGTTTGTTTTAATATGTAAAAGAACGACATTTTTTTTTTTTTTTTTATTTTTTCAAGTTAAATAATGGAAGAATGGAGGGAATTTATGTATACATAATGTAAATGACATTCGAAGATACAGGTATAAATTATTTACAAATTTTATGGTTAAAATTAACAGGTTTAATTAGAATTTTTAAATAAAATTTATTTAACGTGAGAAACCGCAGATTAAAATTCAACCTATGTATCAACCATCCACCAATTTTTGTTAATTTAAAAAGTTTTCTCTGAACTATTATTATCATTATCATTATCATTATTATTATTATTTAAAATAAGAAAGAAATCGTTTAGGAAATTGTTTTTGGTTTTTTTTTTTTTTTTTTTTTTGGTTGTTT